TATTTAATTTTTATCTATTTATTATATAAAATTATATGAACAAATTTTATATAAAAGTTAAACTAAATTCTATCAAAAGGATTATTTTGCAATAATTTCTTCATTGCTTAGTTTAATTACTTAGGATTCGTTTGAATATATAAAATGCATTTTACATATTTTTATAGTGTTAAAAGGACTAAAAAATTTATAATTATAATTACAAATTAACGCTATCAAATTAAATTTTAATTCTTTAAACCTTAAATAACTTTTTATTTTTTGAACTTAAATCAAGAAATCATGTTGAAATGAAAAAGAAATAGCGGGAATGAGTTCATGCAAAATCCGCCGGTAATGTCGCGAGATTAACGCGGCAAAGCAACCTTATTTTCGTATACTATATATAAAGCTGAATTAAAAGGTCAGTTTTTTGAAAATTACAAAAACCGAGAAAAAACACAAATTATGGGGGTTTCGTTTTCGAGAAAAAGACAGTCCGTTATCGTTATATTAAATTTTTTAAGCTATCTTAGCGCCAGTCACTGTATTTACTTCTAATTTTTTAATACATCTAATTATCTAAAGGTGAAAATTAATAAAAAATATATATATATATTATGGTAGCCTCTATTTTTAAAAAAAAAACCTTCACATACATATCAAAATTTAAATATAAAATTTAAAATTTAAAATCTTAAAGTATTGTAAAATAAAACTTAAAAAAATTTTTATTTTGAAACTCTAATATTCGATAATCATATTAGATTTTAATTAATTTAAAATTAAATTAGGTCAGATTTCATAAAAAGAAAAACTCTACCAACATCTATTTCGTTATTCACAAAACTCGAATGAAATTTTATTTTAAAAAAATTAAATTCTTTTTACTTGAATTAACATATCATTGGTCTTATTAAAATGCAATTAAAACAACTCTTATTTTGAAGCTTAAAGTGCAATTTGATTGATTAAACATGACAAACCAGTGTTTGAAACAGAAATACACTGTGTATGCCCTGAAAGGCTCAAATTGGGTGTGGTTATGGCTATTGATTTGATAAGCAACAGAATATTGTTAAAAAAATATTAGTTTTATTTTATTTAATTGTTAATAATAATTAATAATTAATAAAATAATTAATAGTTATTATTTTATTTATTTTTTAGTAAATTTAATTTAATATTTTTATTTTTAAATATAAATTTTAAATAAATATTTAACCTATTATATAAATAATAATTAAAATTTGTTATTAAATAAAAATATTTAATAAGAATTTTTATTAAAAAAATATTAGTTATTATTTATATAAATTGTTAAATTTTATTTAAAATTTATGTATAAAAATTAAAAAAATTAAATTAAATTGATTAAAAATAAACAAAAAAATATTTAATAAATTTAAACCCATTTATTAACTAATATTTTTAAATATTATAATTAATTATTTAAAAAATTATAAATATCAAATAAATTAAACACAATTTATTGTGATCCACCTAAGTATTCTGCGGTCATAACACACCACCTAAATCCACTCTTAGTCTGATGGTACAATTGCGACAATGACAATAACATGGTTCTTTTTGGTATTTGTTTGATTTTTTTCTTTTTTAAAAAATTATTGTCAAAATATGTTTCATGTTTTTGGTAAGCATTACTTACGAAACTTAAAATTTAAATTAAAACATTTATTTATCGATAAATTTATTTTTTTGTATAATTAGTAGGGGGTAATAAAAGTCAAGGTAGAAAAATAAATAAAAGTCCTTTTTCTCAACGAAATTGCCAAGGACGAAAAAAAGAAACGAAGTGTACGTTACGAATTAAGTTTTAATACTGAAATTTCTTTTTTAAAAAAACTAGAAAGATTTATACATATTATTCATAGTATAAATAAATATAGAAGGTAAATGATTTAAAAATAATTTTATTATTATTATTTTTATATAATTTTATTTATCACTTAAATGATTAATTCTTTTAATTTATTTAAATTTTATAATATTAATATTAAATATATATTTATTTAATGATATATAAAAATTATATAAAAAATAATACAAAAATATTATTTTTATATCACCACCAATATCATTCTACAATTTAAACTATATTTACACAATAAAACAAGTCATCAGATGAAAAAACCTTTCAATATCAAGCGATCTTACTTTAATTATTGATTAATGCAATGTAATTTGATATAATTTGTATTGTACCATTAATTTTTTTAAATAAATAAATAACAAACAGTGGAAAGAGAAAGATTGATTAACTTTAGCACCGTTTCTGCCACAAACCAGTCTTCATTTCAGTGCTTCGACCAAACATTGACCTTTCCAATCCCTTCTCATCTGTCTCTTTATCAGGTAATTTCATGCATATTGCTTGAAAAAGATGAATTGAAATATGTTAATTGGTTCTCTCATTCCGTGATTTTCTGAGAAAGTTTTGTAGGTGTTTGTTTTTAATGGTCTGGCTATTTGGAAATTTTTTGCAACAGAAATGGAGTGCATGGAAGCAAGAGCCTTGAAATCCAAGGAACTCAGGGAACTGGGTATGAAATCGAACCAGCAAGCCTTTCTTGACAATTTTTGGTGTTTCAATGCAGCAAGTGGGGTTTCTAGTGATGATTTTTCCGTTGATCGTTTCCTTGATTTCTCCGCCGGAGAATTTGACGACGGGGGCTCTGCTGAAGAAGAAGAAAAGGACTACCTCTCTGTTTCCTCTCAAGATAACAACTTTAATTCCGCCGGTTACTCTTTTAATTCCCTCCTACCCGAAGAACTCTCTGTTCCGGTAATTTTTTATTTTCCCGGTTCTTTTTTTTTTCCGGTTCTATTTCCTCTGTTTATAAGCAAAAATTAACATGAGGATTTTGAATTTTCGGCAATTTTATAGGTTGATGATGTCGCCGAGCTTGAATGGGTGTCTCAATTGGTCGACGATTCTTCGTCAGAATTCCCTCTGCTGTACCAGTTTAGTAAACAGAAAACCGACGGCCATGCAAAACCCGACCCAAAACCGGTTTCAGTAAAACCGGCGTGTTTCCTTTTCCGAGTTCCGGCAAAGGCAAGAACTAAGCGGCCGAGAACCGCCCGTCGCGACTTGTCAACGTTGTTGGTTTTCTTGACCAAGTCGTCCTCAAGTTGTTCCAGTAACAGTGAGCCGCCAATGAAGAAACCGAAGAAAAAACCGGCGGCTCTGACTGGTGGGTTGTTGGGAGGGAACGCGGTTCCGCGGCGGTGTAGCCACTGTCAGGTCCTGAAGACTCCTCAGTGGCGAACCGGCCCGCTGGGCGCCAAAACGCTTTGCAATGCTTGTGGAGTTCGATACAAGTCCGGTCGGCTCTTTCCGGAGTATAGACCGGCTTGTAGTCCAAGTTTTTTAGCCGATATTCACTCCAATAGCCACCGGAAAGTGTTAGAGATAAGGAAAAGAAAGGAAAAGGAGTTAGCACTAGTAGGAGTGGAGCCCGGTTTGAATCTGGTTCATAGTTTTTTAGCCCATTATAATAGTTACTAAGAACTTGTTTGATATGAGAGATGATGTTAAAGATATTTCGTTTAATCAAATTAAAATGTAGGGCCAATGTTTTATTTTGGTTGAACGAAATCACCTAAGCAAGTAGGCTGGATAGATTTTGGTAGGTTTATGGTCCTTAAGGATGATGAAGGTCTTAGAATTCAGTCCAATTAATGATTATAGTTGGGATTTTAGGATTTTTGGTGGGTTTTTCTTATCGGTTTCTTTTGGTTTTCGCTCAAATAGATTTAGAAGATATAGAAGGTTTTTAGATGGGTTTCATTATTAGTTGTTGGTATTGTAAAATAAAAATAGTTGAATATGGAACAATTCAATGATTTAAATTACAAAACAAAATCTATCATTATTAATAATTTAAATTGTGTAATTTTATATAACTCAAATTGTATAATATATATATATATATATTTTTATATATAATATAGTTGAATTTTTAATGGTAGTTTATCAACTTTTTAATGAGTTGTTTTTTATTAGATTGGAAGCAAGACAAATTCTTAGCTAAACCATTAAAAAAAAAAAAAATTGATCCAAGTAAATTGTAAAGAAAATATGACATAGAAAGGACTATTTTTGACCTTTCCTTCTTGTGGTAGGTGTGAGTTAAAAGGGACAACTAATAGTAACTTCATTATGGAGAATTATTATTATTGTTAACCATTACCAACTTATTTCATCATATTATAAAAATCGACATGACAATAGTCATTCTAAAAAGTTATACTTGCCTTAATTTACTAGTCTGATGAAAGAAAGACCATATAATCCAATCAGAACATACTTTGGGGATTGACATGTTCATTATGGTTTAGAGTAAAAGCTAATCAATCTTGATTAAAATTCCAAAACAAGCACCATTAAATATATATATATATATATTATTCAATAAGAAGGTAAGCTGAAAGCATCTATGTTAGGAGAAAAGGTGACCCGAAAGCATCAACAGTAGGAAAGGATACAATGACACCAACTGTGCAGCCATAAGCTTACTAATGTGAATATTAAACTTGCTACCAGAGAGTAAAGAGAGAAATTTGGTTGGAGGAGAGATCACAATAGAAGATTTTAAATTAAAAAGAAGGTCCGTGAAGCTGTCCAGTCTACAACAGAACGACTCCTGGGCCTGGGTCCAATCAGAGGTGGACATAACGTCTGAACAGTTGCCCGAAGCTCGAATATTAACTTCCTATGGTGAAGAGCTTCGAGTGCCACAAGCAGAGGAAAACTTAACTAAAAGGAAACGTACATCTATAAATTCCTTTTCTTAAAATGCCCTGTTTTACAGTCCAGAACCATATTTTACAGTTTAGTGTTTAAGTTGTAAAACAAGAACCATTGGATGAGAAAAAGACCCCTAACATCAAAAGACGCCATCCCCACCCAATGATCAGTATTGCACTACAAAACTACACAACACTTTCCTTTCTAAAAACCACCATTGAGAAAAAAAGGGGTGGAACTGCTTTTGAAAGTATTGCATTCTACCCATTTCTGAATTTTTAGGACAATCTTTCTAAAAGACATGAAGTTATACAAGTGCACCATTGCAGCTTGGACAGAATAACTAGTCCTGGTGCAGTGCAGTGGTGCTTGACTTTGAAAGCGTGTCCTACACACGCTACAAATAACACCTTTGCTTCTAAAATAGAAGAGAAAAATAGAGTTGTACAAAATAAACAGGGCTGCATCCAAAAACAAGCAAACAGCAATTGTTCCGACCTGCTTGGATCTGTCTCTTTGAGATCATCTTGCAATAACAATCTATGTCCCAATTTTCATTTCCTTGATCCAGATGTCGGAAAAAGAATGACATTTTAAGACTAATGTATTAAAATTCAGGCATTAGTAACAGCAGATATAACCTTACATCAAGATTCGGACTACAGCTAGGCCAACTGCAGATATGGAGACAAGGGTACCAATGCAGTATTTGATCACATCATATTTTGCGGCTTCCAGTTGGGCTCTTAAAGCATGAATTTCCTATTGACAGTTCAAAAATCACATCACCTTTAATACCTTAAGGCAGCACACTAAACAAAAACAGTCTTAAACTAAAGCATCATGCTCACCCGGTCCAGCTTGTTCGTTAGGTTTGTAGTTTCTGCATTCTGATTTGCTAGTTCATCACGTATGCGCCTAAGCACCAGTGTAAGAGTTAGGAGATGAAAATGATCTTCAATTGCAACAAATGAAAGAAGGCAAGTAATATGCACTATATCCTCAGGAACAGGATATTGAAAATAAATTCTCCTTACCCTCTTTCAAGATTCAAATCCAGTCGCTGCCCAGCTGTGACCTTGTCAATTTCATACCTATTTCAGAGCATTGTTATCTTAATAAGAGAACATCAAGGCATCAAAGTTTTTAGGAGGAGAAGACGTTTTGCAGTATACTCCATAAAATATACCTCAACTCACTACGCATTTTCTCTATGTCTCCCCTAAGTTTTTCAGTTTCACGTTGCAACATGGAAAAATGATGCTCCTGCAAAAAAAACACATGCTCATAAAGAGGATGAAAATGAAAAATAATGATTTCAAATATTTTCGTATTCAAATTAAGTCCAAATTAAAGTCCACTAACACAATATAGCATATGACGTGAATTGAAGAATCCACAATGTACTTTTGGAACAGACTATCAGGCATAAAATACTTTCACCAATTAGAGGAGTGAAAGAGCAATAGAATCACATTGATGAATGTGAATATTAGAAAGAAAATCCTGCAGATGTTGATATTTTAAGCAAAAGAATGTGGACCTAATAACTTCAGCTTCCCCTACAAATAGTTGATGGCTTGATGCAGAGAACTGGTACATATACAAAAGGATATGGACCTAACTGCTTCAGCTTCTCCCAAACCTTACATGATGCAGAGAACCGGAATGAAATCAAATAATACAGGGAAATGGAAACTTTTGCTGCTAAGTATTTAAGCTCCACTCCATCAATTTCCTTTCACTTGACCAATAAAACAATTACTGATCCTTTATTTTGTGAAAATGAATGCAGATCCAACTTAATATCTAGGATATAGTCAATTAGCCAACCGAAAGGGAACATGGAATTCTTATGTCCCTATTACTTAATTTGATGCAACCATATGCTTGAGACGGATCTGTGGAAAACGGGTTTGATATGTTTAGTAAAATTTGGCTCCTAGCAGTTGTGCAGGTAAGACGGTTCTGAAGCCTCACTTTTTAACTCCAACAAAGCATTTTCACCTAACTCTAAAACATCCAATGTATTGCCCAAATCGCCACATGCATCACTAATGGACAGGAACAACATGTATAAACATTAGAAAGCCTCCTAAGGCTTAAACTCACATTAAAGTCCTCAATACACGTGTACAAACAAATTAGCATATCCAGAAATGTGACGGAAAAGCTCACAAGTAATCAAAAGGGGAAAAAAAGTGATACCATTTAATAATAAAGTGGGAATGGGATGAAGAACATATTAACAGTATAATACTGGGTACATATAGAAGCAAGAGTCAAAAAGACCTTTCTCTTTCATTTGAAAAATATGTCTTGGTTCTTGGAGTTGCCTCCAACAAGAAGCTTAGTCGACAAACAAACAAACACTAAGGCAAAAACATAGCAAACTCACAATTATAGACATCAAAAGAAAAACACAATATATTTGCTTAGTCACTAAAGGAAAAGGTTTGGAGGCCATTTCACAGCTCAATTCCTATTTCAACTTTGGCAGTGATTTTTTCCCCTCATATTCAAGAGTGACTGTATTATTTGGAAACATGTAGAAGTTTAAAAGAAAAGCAGGGTGACTTTCAGCAGTGATGCTTCTGAAAACTAAATACAAATGTTTTAATTTAATCACCAGCGTACCACTCAACAGCTCAAGTCAATCATCAAACCTAATCCAGCATGCATTTAAGAGAAGAAAACAGAAATGAAGTCAGTACCTGCGAACTTTTTACTTCAGATTTAAACTTTGACAGATTTGCTTCTTGAAGCATCTCAGTCTACAAAGAAACAAGAAACACACGAGCAAAAATTAATAAACATGTTTAAAATAACCAACTGTGACGCCAATGAAAACTTTGTTCCAAATTTTCAAACAGTAGGTAGGTCTGTAACACGATGAATGAAAAGTTACAAAAAAATCAAATGAAACTAACTAAAAAGAACTGTTCAAAATCATTGCCTTTTGCATTTCCGCCTTGGAAACAAAAGATTGCGACACATTTTCCAAGCTATCGTTTAACACTTCAGTGATAGCAGCTGTAATTGCCTCCGCCTGTTTTGATGGTACTCCTTGGGCTTCCAAACCTCTCACCTAAGCACAAAACAACACCAAATCAACAAGTTTTTCCACATATTCTCTTATCTTGAAGTTTCAATAATAAATAATTAATTTCGTTTTAAAAAAACTAACATTCAGCAGAGAATCACAAAAATCGAATAAAGCGAAAAAGAAAAAATCGCGTCGTTTCTTATTCATTGATTTTCTCAGCAATCAAACAGGAAATAAGCAAAGGAAAGTTACCAGAGCCAAGGTATCGACGAGGAATGCGCGCTTTCCGTTAGATTTGACGAGTTGAGAAATATGCCGGTGGTGAGATCTGTACGCAAACGAGGTCGAACACGAATTAAACCCTAATTGAAGCGCGCGCTTGCAAGCAGCCATCGGAGTCAACTGCCTCAGCGATCGGAAAAATCTTGTTTTGGGAACAGAAATAGCGAATTGAATCGAGGAGGAAGAAGGAATTGCTTAGGAGAAAAGAAAGGAATCGGAGTTCATTTTGGATGGAGAGGGATTCGAGAAGACGGAGAATTGGCGGGCAGGCAGATTTAGAGGTGAAAACCGCAAAGTAATGTCGAAGGTGCACGAAATCTCGTTATGATGTGAAGGGAGAGATAGCGAAAAACTCGGATTTTGAGGGTTGGTTGGAAAAATGAGCAAATAGATTGCAAAAGTTTTTTTTTTTCCTTATTTTTGGAGTGGCAAAGCAAAATTCTTCATCCTCTTTTTCCTTCTTTTATGTTGGATTTAGCAGAGCAAACTTCTTGGATTATGGGATTGGGACTTTGGGAGCTTTGTTTTCGGTTCCTTGCCCAAAACTCCAACAAGCTAGTGGAGCTATTGAATATTAGATAAGAAAATGATTTAGAGGGAGTTATTTTACATTATTTTTTAATATAATTTTATGTGTAAGTTAAATAATTAATTTTATATAATTATTTTTATTTATTTTATAATTTAAAATAAAAAAAAAGTCTTTAGTTTTATAAGTTTATTTTTTTATTTAATGATAAGTATTATATAATTTAATATAACTTAAATTACATTATATATGTTTTAATAAATTTTCTATTATACTTTTGATTTTTTTTTAAAATAAGAAATTATTATCTCTACTTTTATTTATTTATTATTATTAAAAAAATGGAATAAAAATTTTGTTATGAAGTTTACATTTTTGTGAAAACCCTATTATAACTAAATTTTTTTATTGACCGTTTTTTAAGTTTATTTATAAAGAAAACCAAAACACTAAACAGCATTTTTTATTATTTTAGAATTTTTTTAACTTATATACTTAAAATAAATGTTAGGAATAAATAAATACATTTTTTTTGTCATTAATTTATATTAAAAAATAAAAATTTACCTTTAATTTATTAATCATTAAATTAAATTCATCTACCTATCAACAATACTAAAATTAATGTCAATTTTTATTTTTTATATATAATTATAACAAAAAGATACCCTTAATATGCACTATTAAGACACATTTAAAAAACATTTATTTTACACAGAACTTTTTGCCAATTCATAGACAATCAGCCTTCCATATTTTAAAAACAAGATTCAGCTTTAATTTTACTATTTGGATACAAATCTATTATAAATAAATAAAATTATACTAAACACAGCTGGGCTAACAGCCTAATAATTACATACATGAAGCACATGGCAACAGGATGGCCAGAGTTGGCTCCGTGGAAATGCAGATGGACATTGAAATTATGCTGCAAATTATTCAAAAAATGACAGATTTTTTATCCTTACTACACTAAACAATACATTGACATTACTGCCATCAAATTGAAAAGTTTAAGATAAATGAGGCAATGCACGTTCGTCACTACAACAATCAGACATGTACTTCCTCCCTCCTTGGACAGGTGTAAGGAAGATCTCTTATAGAGAGAGAAGAAGAAATCAAATTGCAGATTACCAGATATATTGGTTAGAGAGAATTGGACTTTTCAATCAACAATTTCACTTTCTCTTGTATAGAATATCATCCAGGCTCTCTTTTATGTAGTTGCCTACTTTGTTCAGATTCTTGGAAACACCTGATGCGACTATGCCTGCACTCCGTTTAAACCTGTGAATAGGATGTGAACGGAAATTAGGGTTCTGATAGTTTGAAGATGAAGCAATTAGTCGCATACTTATAATTCTCAAATGAAACCAGCGTCTTGCCTGCTTATGTACTCATCTGCTGTTGAATGTACTGGCTGGTTAGCTCGAGGTTGAAGTTGAGGTTGAGGCTGAGGCTGAGGCTGAGGCTGAGGCTGAGGATGAGCAGGGACAGGTCTATCTAGATGTAAACAAAAACCAAGTATTTTATTAAACCAGAAAAGAAAATGATAGAAACAGCATCCTAAAGAGCATTGTTGAGTAAATATACGTTACAATGACATAAAAGCATCAAATTTATATAAGTGGGGCATTCAAACATAATTTTATCATGTCAGAAGCTCTTAAAGCAACAACTGATAGCCAGAAGGGAACAAGAACCTCTATTCGCCTTTTCACATGTATCCTAGCAACCAATAAAACAAAATCTACACATGCAAGCCAGAGTTTTATCTCTTCTAAATCTTCTACTAAGTTCAAGATTCAGTACTCAAAGTACATAACCATGCAAAGTTAAAGTTTTGATTAGAAAGCAGAATGACTAGCAAGTGACAAACAAGGTCTTGACCAAATGCCCTACAAGTAAGATTCAAATCTATTTAGTATTAGTACCTTGAGTCCTTTGGACATGATCAGTGGAAGAAGGTCTTGAGTCCAACAGTACCTGATACAAGATGTATCAATGTTAGCATAACAACTAAAATACAAAGAATGAGTAAAACCCACAACTAAACACCAACTCTGAAGCTCAATTGGACTGTGCTATTAGACACTCATTTTATTCCAATACTTGGCATGCTGCTTGCCTGGCTTTATTCAGGCCTAGGGGGATAACCCATCGTATGACCTATCCACTTTCCTAAAGATTTCATGTAGGGCATGTGGGGTTGTACACTCTATAATCCTAGTCTTTTCCTCAGAGCCACCAACCAACCACTCGTATGGCCATAGTAACCAATTTGTCAGCTTGGCTAGCATTTGGATCTAAGCCCATAGCCAGCCAGCTGTATTCTGGAGCTGATTAAATTTTCAGAGAAATCAAGGCAAAATGCAACATGACCACCAAAAGGGAAAAAAAAGAAGAAAAAAGGCTCAATGCAACATGTGTAACATAATACAAATCAAACAAATGGTAAAGTCATTCTTTATTTACTGATTTTACCTAAAATTTACAACAAAAACATAGTTACCTTACACTCTAATGACTCTATTTCCACACAAACAAACAACTTTTTGGAGTCATGTGCGTGGCCCCAAATAAATTGTTATGCATCCATCAAGAGAGCAAAGAAAAGAGGAAATACCTCAAGGCCAACACAAACCGGCAGTTCAACTTGTTTATCCGGCTGATTTGTTAAAGAGCCTTTATTATCCAAGAACACCGAGTAACCAACACAACCATACTTGAATTCTTTCAGGTCTCGCCACTCCTTGGAACGTTCTGTCTCGGATTCACTGATGACATAGCTGGGTACTATCATCAAATTCATTCAGTATTTTCCTTTTATCTCCGAACCCAAAAAAAAAAAAAAAATCTTAAACTAAAACAAGGAAAACATATCTAGATATTAAACAGACACATCAAAACAGAATTATTGTTTTCTGGAGAAAATAAAATCCACAATAAAGCAGTCAAAGGAGTTTCCGGATCAGAAGAAAACCTAGAATTTCAATGGAAGATACATGATTAATAGATTCTATCATCCAATGATCAGAAATTCAGAATTTCATTCCATTGATTTTAAATTTATCGCATCCAAACAGGAAACTACGAAATTAAAAGAAAGAGAAAGGGTGACGAGGGACCTTGATTGAGGGTTCTGGGGATGCCGACACAAATAGGGTTCTTAGATTTGGATTTGAGAGCAGAAGAGTAGTAAAGGCATCCCTTGCATGATTTTCCTCCTCGCAACGATCCTTTGGTCTGCTCGTTTGGGTTTTGATTTTCTTCTCCACTCCCCGCCATCTTCTGATTGCCCCTCTGCTCCCTCCGTTTCTGATTTATCTCTTCTCTGCGTACTTTTTCCCAATAAATATTTTGTTTTTCCTACTCTATTTATTGCTTTCTTTTAAGTGCTGTGGTTTTTTTAACCTCAAAGTATCCGATCTAAAGGCGCACTTCCAATTACCGTCCGAATATTTGAACCCTAGGATTAATTTACTAAACACATTTATTTGCAAATAGATCCAGTGTTAATCTTCCATTTTTTTTTTTTATTAACCTACCCTGTTCAGTAGCCATGGATTTTGATTATTCAGAATTAAGTTGCCTTGGATCATATTAAGGAGAAACTCTTCGGATGCATATTTTTTCATTTACAATAGTTAAATTCAAAATTTTATTTAAAAAGAATAAACTTTTTTCATTCGAATTAACAAATCATTGGTAACCTTAATTCACTTATTTGTAAATAGATATCATCTTTAAAGAAATAATGACAAGTGAAACTAAAGTTTAAAACTAAAAATATGAGATTAATAACATAATATAAATTATATCATTTAAAATATTAAAAAAATAAACTTTATATTATTTAATAATTATTTTTTTAAAAAACTAATAATATTAGATACATTAACTAATTAATTTAACGACGTAACATAAATCTCATCATTCATCCCAAATTTTCATCCCCTATCATTACTCATCTTTGAGATAGGAAGGAAAAATTATTATAATTAATAAAATTATTTCATTAGCCTAATAACTTAATTTAATTTATCTAAAGAAGTTTACCACCCTTTCTTCCTCAAACCAAACAGCCAATAAGTATTTTTTTCCCAAACTTGACACTAACATACTTATAATCTTTTTTTCTTTTTTTCGAATAGATTTATAATTGAGTATGAAAGAATTTGAATCTCAACATTGACTTGATAAAATACACATTATAAGTCAACTTACAATTATTGGACCGTGAAGTCCACATGCAATATATTCAGAACCTTTTTAGCAAAGGGAAAAAAGAATAAATGAATAATCATTAAATATAACACATAAAATTAAATAAAAAAATTTATTCCCTAATCATTTTCCAACTCTAAATTTAAAATGCCCAGTGTCATTTGAGAAAGATGAATATAGCTCTTGTATAATCCATTATCGCGCTTAATTAAAAAAAATTGGCAGTAAAAAAGGGAGAAAATAGTAGCATCCATCATTCCCCTCTTATATTATTTCAGCTTGCATCTTCATTCTACTCACACAATGATATAAATGATTTCCTGCAGTGTGAGATATTTATCCCAGAGCACACTAAGAACCAAGGCTTGACGAAGAGATGCTACTAAACTACCAAAGCATAAATAGAATATCTAATGCTGAAATTCTGTAAATTAAGATTACTGTACACAAGGGTACTACTGCTCTAGATTGGCAAAATTTAAGGGTGAAGATAATCACATTGAGCCCCTTTTTTGCAATGACCATTTTTATAGTATTGGCACACTCTCTGTCCTTTATTCAAAGGAGGCCTGGACGAACCTCCTCCACTGCCAAATGATGGTTGTCGATTGTAAGGTTTACCCCCACCATATCCAGAATCTCCACCCTGGGAGCCCCTATCACCGTTGGGATTCTGTTCGTTTCCCCACATTGCTGTATTCCCGGGGTTCTGTGCTGCTGCCCAACCAGGATTTGCATTTAGCGGTACTGCCCCTTGACCAGGTGCAGCTATCCATCCTGAACTTGCATTACCAAATGGTGGGGCTTGACCAGTTGGTATCCGTCCTGGCATTAGGTTCCCCGGCGCAACCCAACCTGAATTTACATTTCCAGGCAGTTGTCCGTGCACCGTTGTAGCCCAGCCTTGGTTTGTATTTCCCGGAGCTGACCCCTGATTATTAGTTCCCCAGTTGACATTTGTATTCATGGTTAGAGGTGCCACCCATCCCATGTTTGGGTTTCCAGGCATTGGCCCCCAACCAGGGTTCTGACTCCCAGCCACCAGACTTGGAGCAGCATTTTGGTTATCCGTAACACCCATGCCCCAAGATAGGTTTGGCAGAGTATGAGGCTGAGCGTTTGGCTGACCTTGAAGTGGAGGCCTCCAAGAATCAGATGCAGGCAAACCCATTTGGCCTGGGACAGGGAAACTTCCAGCTGGATTTCCATTGCCAAAAGATGTAGAAGAATTGTGGCCAGAAGATGAAGCATTATTCCAGTGACCATAAGTAACAGATTGAGCAGGTGTAGAAAGTGAAGTATTGGGCTCTAGCTTTTGGGTTGAAGCACTTCCCCAGGCTTGAACTCCAGCTGCAGTTGGTACAGAGCTTGGAGCAACGATATCTGCCCTTGACACTGAGCCAGAACCCCATCTATGAGTGTCAACAGCTGTATGAATACTTGCAGGTTGAACTAAGTTTTGAAAAGATGCACCTGCATTTTTCATATCAACAGCACCTGAATTAAGGGAGCTCTGAGCATTGACCTGCATCCTTTGTGATTCACTTGACACCATCAGTTGTGAATGCATTTGAGGAGCATTTGCAGAGCTCAACAGCATATTTGTTTCAGACTTAGGTGCTGAACTCCCACTCTCTGAAAACCCAACAGCAAGACGTTGCAAACCCCCAGCATCTCCTCGGAATAGATTGACTACAGAAAGAGAACCAGACGGCTGAATGGATTTAGGTGACAATTTACTCTCCAAGGTTTGTCCCCTTGTCCCACCTGTAGCCGTTTGGCTTGGAGTGGGAGAGGGAAGATTTATTTCAGAACCCCGTCCATCTTGAGAATGGTTTGGGACCTCAAGTGTAGATGCAGCATGGCCAGTGGAAGAATGGTCTTCGGGTTGAGATTTCCAACCTTCTCCTGCTGATTGGCCTAAAGAGCCCAGGGTGCGATGCGGACTCCAAGCTGCATGATTCTGATCAAACCTCGATCTCTCAACAGTTGGACCTTCTATTCCTTGTTGCAACAGTGTGTGAAGAGGGTTCCCAGAATAAGAAGCCACATGAGTCTTGGGGAAGGTGTCATTCACCAACTTAGTGTCCTTTGGAAACTTTCCAGCCAATGCATCAGTTAGAAGTATAGAGTCATCTTGCGACTCACTTTTCCTCCAAA